TTAAACCTTGGCTCCTTGGAGGCAAGGATTCTGAGGCTCCATCTAACATACTTTGGACATGTTGTAAGGAGAGACTGGTCCTTGGAGAAGGACATCATGCTTGGGAGGGTGGAGGGACAGCGCAGGAGCGGAAGGCCCTCTGTGAGGTGGATTTATTCAGTGACTGGGATAATCGGGATGGGAGTGTCAGAGAGTGCAATTGACACAAGATAGAGCAGCATTTAGGGCTGTTGTACATAGGGTCGCTATGAGTCGCAAGCGACTCGACGGCACATAGCAACAACAAAACCAGTTATTTACAGAAATAGAAAATATTTTTTTTGTTGTTGTTTCAGGAAAATTTGTTTATAAATTTTATGAATCAATTCTTATATTTTTTTCTGGATATTGTTTAACAATACTTATTCCCAATAATACTGTTAAAGATTGGAGACATGGCTACCCCTTCAATGCATTGCCATTTTCTTCTCCTAATTTTATAATCACTGATCTTTAGCGCAATATTAGTAATATTGGACAAAATTTGGATTAGTCTATAATAGTGTTTATTCTTAATATTAACCAATACAGTAACTGGGGCAGTGGGGGTTTGGTGTGTTGTAATTAGTGAGACAGGCTCAGGACAGGAAAGGATTCAGAGCTGCTGCACATAGGTCGCAATGACTCAATGGCACATAACAAGAGCAACAACGTATTATATTGGTTGCAACAACTTATTTAAAGTCTAAAAGACCTCATGGAGGGCCTTTGTATTTTAAAGTCAGTTGTTATTATATTTTGGAGGAACATTCTTCTAAGTGGTACAATACTCTTCTGTCAATTTTCTGTATTGAGGTAATCTGGGTTTGCTGTGATGCTGAATCTTGTACTATTGGGATATCAAATGACATAACAGTTGCCCATTGTGTACAGTGTTTAGTGGCGCTCCCAGTTTAAGACAGGTTTGGAAGCAGGAGTGACATCCACTTTCTAAACAACATGCCTCTCTGTAAACTCTGAATGTTGAGAAATAACGATAGTTATAGAAAGACTTCAGGTCTTTTGTTCATAGGGTCATTATGAGTAGTACTCAACTCAACAGCAACAACAACAAAAACAATAACAACAGCAAGAACAGTTCTCATATTTTATGGTTACGATATAGAAAGATAAAGTTATGGAAACTACTATTCCTAGTTTTGTACTTACTTTTAAAATTTTTAATTAAATTTTGGATGCTATCAACTTTTCTTTTTTCCAGAAAACTGTATTTCTACAATATATTTTTTGTGTCTCTCTCAGCCTCATCTATCAATCATATCTTTGTGTGTGTCTGCATAGCTATCACTATATAATGGAAACCTTTATGACAACTCAAATCCACTGGTGAGTCCATGACAGAAGGATGGGCATTCTCCTCCTGTGTGAATGCTCTGGAGTCAGCTATGAGTCTATTCCATCTCAACATGAATGAGGGCAATTTGTGTCTGTCTGTCTGTCTTTGTAAAAAAAATATTAAGCTACTCTTCAATGTCTTAAGTACACTCTACTTGTTAAATCTTCAATATGGCTTTCAATACGCCTGCATGGTCCGTCCTCACAAGCTTATCTTTTCTACCTTTTTTTTATCACCTATTTTTTTACTCTGGATGTCTATGTTGCAGCCACATGGAACTCTTACCATTTGCTCACACTTTCTCTGAGCCTGTGCATATGCCTGAAATATCCTTTATCCTTACCTCTTTATTTATTTATTTTTCAGATTTCAACTTAAATTTTATTCATTCTACAATGTTGTTCTCAATTTCTTCAAGAATGAGTTAGATATTCACACTGCACGTAGGCCTTGCATCTGATAAATTATTCACAACAATGTATTCTAATTGCCTCCTTCTCCACAACTTTTGTTGTTGTTGTTATTTTTTTGTTTGTTTGCCGATCTGTTTGGTTATGCTTACAGTGCCTGAGCAGTGATAGATGCCAGATAATTACTTATTGGATAAATGAATTGAAATAGAATAAGCATTATAGATTGAGAGTATAAAATAAGTTTTGACCAAGTGGGTAAGAGTTGTGAGGCTAACTTAAAGGTAGGTGGTTCTAATCTACCAGTGACTCTATGAAAGAAAGAGAGTCATTCCCCTCCTATGTGATTTACAGCCTCTGAAAACCTACTAGAAGGTCAGCTACGAGTCATTTTCAACTCAATGGCACAGAACAATCAATAATTTAAAGACAATATAGAAGATCTCTAAAAATAGTCATATTTTCTAATCACTTAAATGTGCAGATTCATTAGAAGAGCTTAGGTAAATCAACTTATGATAGTATATTATTCAAACAAAGATTTTCGAAAATGTATGTCAGCTCTAAGTCTTCCTTCTAAAAATCATGATCACCATCACAATCACTCAAAATATGAGTGATGTTAGTGTCAGTTTGTTTCAATCCCTAAAAAGAACAGAAGATTCTTTAGATTTTCGGCCAAATTTGTGAACACTCTTTTAGATCTTTGCAGATAAAGCAGTATATAGTCATGTGTAGATTAGAGGGAAATGTGCATTAGTGATGAGTGGTTTTATATATGTTGGATAGGTGGATGAAAGTGTTCTGAGAATTTTCTTACCATAGATAAAGAAGATGAACATTAATTCCCATATTTCCAGATTAGTATTTCCTACAAGAGAGCTCTAGTGGCTTAGTGGTGAGGAGTTGTTCTACTGACTCAATGGTAGGTGGTTCGAATCCACCAGCTGCTCCAAGACAGAAATGGGCAATCCCTCTCTTGCAATTCACTGCCTCTGAAAACCCTTTGAAGGGCCACTTATGAGTTGGTTTTAACTTAACATTACATAAGAACAATCTTTCCTATTGCAACTCTCAAAGTTCTATCTCAAATGGTTGTGCCAACATTTTCTAAGAAAATCTCAAATCCTTAAATTGATGATAAAATTAGAGTGCATGTTCTCATGTACTCATTAATAGGAATCAAAGGAATGCCTCAATGATGTTCTAGATACTGTTTTATGACAAATTAGGGAATAAACTGACAATAGAACCTCATCTTGCAATAATCATCGCCAAATTATTTTGTACCACAGAGAAAAATGTTAGAAACCCAGATATTTTAAAAGACTACAAACATTATTACTAGCATAAAGCAAATTCAACTAAGCTTGCCATCATTCTTTTGTTCTTGTAGGTTTTTGGTTCTTCCTTTTCCTTCCAATGCTAACTTTTCTCTTTCCTGTTTCCTCTTAATGTCCAGCATTCCAATGCCTCAACACATAATGTCATTAGATAGGTTGATAAAAATATTAACTCTTAAATTATTTCAAATGCATTTTATATCTTAAATCAGTATACTGGACTGTTTAAAACATTTCATTTTTAAATACTTATCAATGTGAGATAAGCATTCCTTTCTATCACTGTCCATTTACAGTTTATTTATTCTAGCTCACACAGTGTTATAATTTATGGAGTTACTCTTAAAACATGTTTATGCAACACCCAAGCAAAAGAGTTCTTAAGATGCATGTTGCTTAAGGTATAATTAGGCAAATGAAAACTTGTGAAATTGATATTGCATGGTTTGCTTACTAATACATACAACAATAAACTCAGTAAAATATATTTGATGCACTTATAAATGTGGCTTAAGTGGCATCATTTTTTATAGTGAGACAAGGAAGAGTCAGTTGTGCACACTTCTCTATATTTTCTTATGGTACCTATCTTATGGCTTTTCACACAGCAGATGATAAGTATATAGAACTCAGTGGTTTTAGTGACTGATCAACTTTTTACTTCATATTATCTATCATCCAATCCTAATTTTCACATTAAAGTTAGGTAAATGGAGTGGGTAGAAGGAATATTTAATTAATTTAACTAAGTGGAACTAATATTTTTCAAAAAGCACTAAATTGCTCTGCATAGATTAATTTATTTACTAAATCATTACAATGACGGAACAAGGTAGGTATTGTAGGTTTTAGGTTAGGTGGAAACTGATCCAAAAAAAAAAAAGAGTTTAAGTTCTTAAGGGGGAAAATTATTTGAATCAATTAGAACACATTTGTGACACCAAACTGTTTTCTACTTAGCACTTTCTGTCTTTATTTACACAACAGAGAACTTAATTTTTAGAAATAATCCATTTATTTCAAGTATTGCTTTATAAACATAAAAAAATAGATATACAAACATTCAGAGACTTAAAACAACATTCCCATCATTTTCTTTAGTGTAAGAAGGGCATTGATAGACTGGGTATTCACAAAAAGACAAGTACTTGAAATGTTGATCTGAGAAAACTGACATTCACAGCATATGAGAAAAAGAATAAAAATCTTGCATTCTTGGAAATTTTAGTGTTCACATGAGTTTCTGGAGACTGCTTGGTGGCATAGTGTGTAACCTGTTAGGTTGCTAACTGAATGGTTGATGGTTTGAATTTATCAGCCGATCTGCAAAAGCAAGATAGGGAGTCTGCTCTCATAATCATTTATAGTCTCAAAACCCCAATGGGTGGTCTCTGTGAGCTGGAACTGACTCAGTGGTTTGGGTAGTGGATATAGACCAAAACTAAGAAAGAACTTTCTGATAAAAAGCATACACTTTACTTGCTGTCCTTAAAAGCCATTCTTTCACAGAGATATAGGCAAATGAACAGATCTGATTATAGACTCCAAGTTCCTTCTAGGATGTTTTTCTGAATAAAACTTTCCTGAGTTATTAACTTTATTCACACAGTTTTGGGAAATGAATATCTATTCAAGACTTTCCTCAGAGCTGTCTTCACTTCTTTATTCCTCAGTGTGTAGACAAGGGGGTTGAGTAGGGGAGTGATTACAGTATAGGTCACTGCCACCAGCCGGTCCTTGTCTGAGGAGTACAGGGATGTGGGCCGTAGGTAGATAAAGGAAGCACAGCCATAGTGAACAATGACCACTGTCAGGTGGGAAGCACAAGTGGCAAAAGCTTTTCTCTGCCCCTCCACTGAGGATATTTTGAGGATGGTAGACACAATGAAAACATAAGAGATGAAAATCAGTACAAATGGAACCAGTAAAACGAGAATGCTGAGGAAGAAGATGACCATCTCCTTTAGGTTCGTGTCTGTACAGCCCAATTTGATGACAGGGGAAATGTCACAGAAAAAATGGTTGATCCGATTGGAGGCACAGAAAGGCACACTGAACACCAGGACATTGACAACCACAGAGATGAGGAAACCACAGAAGCTAGAGGCTAGAACCAGCTGCATGCAGGTGGCTCTACTGACAATGAGTGTGTAATTGAGAGGGTTACAGATGGCAACGTACCGATCATAGCCCATCACAGCAATGAGAAAGCAGTTGGTACAAGCCAAGCCCACAAAGAAATAAAGCTGGGCAGCACATCCAGAGAAAGAAATTGTTGGATTTGTCGAAAGCAGGTTGCTCAGCATTTTAGGCACAATGACTAAGGTGTAACATGTTTCAGAGCAGGAGAGGATAAAAAGGAAGAAGTACATGGGGGTGTGCAAAGCCCGGTCCAGGCGGATAACAGTCATAATGGTAACATTAGCCATCAAAGTGGTCAGGTAGACCAGTAGGAAGATGAAGAAGAGAAGGATCTGCAGATCCCCAAGGTTTGAAAAACCTACGAGGAAGAACTCAGTGATCATGCTTTGGTTCTGTCTCCTCATTGGTCAGTAGGAATCCGAGTCAGTCTGCCTGAAATTCAAAGCAGAAAGTATTAGATAAATATTAAATTACTTCAAAGGACGCCAGTTTCTATGCAAAACTGCTAATATTAGTCTGAGGAAACATGAGAACACTAATTGGGAAGTGAGAGAAAACAGGAAGCATGAAAAGCAGAGGCATAAATGACTCCTACACTCAAAGAAATAAAATTTTATTTCTATAGGCTCTTTCCAGTCTTTGTATTTATAAGTATATAGCAGATTCACAATAAATTAAATCTAGAAGTGATTCAGAGCTTACCTCATCAAATATTCTCATTTTAAGGAAGAAAGTGAAGTTCAAAAAGATTAAGCCATTTGCTTAACCTGTGAGGAGCAGTTCTTATAAGTCATTTATCTTTAAAGCCATCACATTAAAACCTAATTCATAAAAACAAAGCAAAAATCCAATGAAAATATTTTGTATGCTCCTTCTGACAAAACTGTTACTTGCTCAGATATTAATAAATAATTTCACTTAAAATTTACTCCATGATTGATGACAAAGATGTTTGAAGGGGGTTAGAATGGTCTTAAATATTGGCGTTTCCTGTCTCTCTCTCTCTCTCTCTCTCTCTCTGTGTGTGTGTGTGTGTGTGTGTGTGTGTGACTGTATGAGATTAAATCTGCAATAAGAGACCTTTCCAACATATTGAGGAGTAGTGATGTCAGTTTGAGGACTAAGCTGCATGTGATTCAGGTAGTCTTTCCAATTATTAGCTATGCATCTAAGACCAGTACAATGAATAAGGATGACAGAAAAAGAATTGACAGCTTTGAGCTGTGGTGTTGGAGAACAGCACTGAATATCCCATGGACAGTGAAGAGAATGAACAGATATGTCTTGGAGAGGGTGCAGCAGGAGTGTTCTTTGGATTCAAGAATGATGAGGTTTCACCTCACATACTTTGGACATGTTGCTAGGAGGTGCTGTTCCTTGGAGAAGGACATGATGTTGGAAGGTTGGAGGATCAGTGGAGAGAAAGACCCTCAAACAGGTGGATTCATGTAGTGACTGCTGCAAAAGGTACTTGTGTGTCAGGAAGTGTGAACGTGGCACAGGATAGAACAGGGTTCAGATCTTTTGTTCATAGGGTCACCATGAATTGTGTTCAACTTGACGGCACCTAACAGCAACAACAACAGAAAATAGGATTTTGGGACCAGAAGGTCAATAAAGGCTCACATCTCTTCCTGAATATGATGAAGCTGGGACTGAGACTACTCTTCTGATTTCTGTCTTGATCTTGGTTGTCTCCAATTGCTTTCAGAAAAACTCAGTGTTATCTGTGGAAAGAACTTCAACTTCATGTGGGGATCACTTAATGCTGAACCCTTTATACTAACCTTAGAAAATTAATCTTTGCTTTGAAGAAAAAGTCAGAAGTCTTCTCAGTGAATCTGTATCTAGTTCTGTGAACCTCTGTATACCAGCCTGGACAAGTACAGTATATAGTCACTGTGTTAGCCAAACCACTTATTCTCTTGCCAAACAATTCATTTGTCTAGAATTTTCTCTTCTTTAGCTTAGTCAAATTGTATAACTCCTTGATGTATCCATTTCCTTGTTCTTTACTTAACCCTCTGTAGTTACTCACAAAATGTTTCATTACTTTACATAAATTACAGTTTCCTGGCTACTTAAACATTCATATCCCTTTATGGTTTCTGAAAATCTTTCTGATCTCCCGCTTAGACAAACTGGCTAATCCTCCACCATTACACACACCTACAGCTGTGTCGCCATGTAACATTAATTAGCCTTTGCCTGCTGTTCTCTCATCCTTACTACCAGTTACAATTTATCATCTGTCATACAAAATCCCAGCTAAAGAGTTATCACTCCAAGGTTTTCCTGGGCATCCCTTAATTATTTTGCTTACTCTTGTCATTATATCTCTGCCAATTTGTTCTGGAATAATTTCCTAGAGTAGCACATAATGAGACTGGGAAGTTTGCAGTCTCTGGAGCTGGATGACATTGATTGGTTGGATCCACAACTGCTATTGCAGGACTGGAGAAATCACTGTTCTCAATGGCTCAGCTTTCAACTCTGAAATGGCAGTAATATAACAAATCATGGGAGGATCAGTGGTGGGGAGCAGTGATTTGAGTACAAAATGTTCCTAAAATTGTTTTCACTCATAACATTGTTGTTATGTGCCGTTGTGTTAGAACCAACTCTTAGTTAATCACAAGGGAAGCTTGTCCATCCTTCTTCCATGGAGCAGCTGGTGGTTTTGAACTGTGTGCCTTTGGATTGGTGAGCCCCCCACCCCCGATTCATAACTGGCTTTCAAATTTTAGCTGATAATATGTAGCCTAATTCCCTCATATGAGGAAACTGAGGCAAAAAGAAGGAAAAAAATAAAAAAAAATAGATGATACATTCAAACAGTAGCAGAGTTGAGGCTCTTGTTGTTAGGAACCATTGAGTCAACCAAAACTCACAGAAACCCTGTGAAAAACAAATCAGAACTTTGCCCTATGCTGCATAATCATCACAATCTCTGCTGTGCTCAACAGATGAAACCCTTGCCCTATGCTGCATAATCCTCACAATCTCTGATATGCTCAAGCACATTGTTGTCATTCTGTCAGTCCATCTTTTTTCCTCCTTTTTTTATTATTATTACTTTTAATGAAAATTTAGAGACTTTGGATTTCCATTCATTTATTATTGCAATTTTTTCCCTGCCTAACCTCCCCACCCAGTCCATCTTTTGAGGATCTTTTTCTCTTTCTCAGACCCTCTGTCTTTCCAAGCATAATGCCTTTTTCTAAGGACTGGGTCCTCCAAAAATATGCCCAAAATATGTGACACAAAATTTCACCATGTTTGCTTCTAAAGAGCACTTTCAATTGCACTTTCTCCAAGGCAGATTCATTGGTTCTTTTGACAGTCTATGGCATGGTTTGTACTCCTCAACAGCACTGCAATTCAAAGGCATCTCCTCTTCTGTCATCTTTCTTTGTTGTCCAACTTCCAGATGCATAGAAAATACCATAATTCGGACTAAATGCACTTATATATTTAAATGGATATTCTTGCCCTTTAGCTTTTTAAAAGAGATTCTTGACCCAATCCAACATGTTTGTAGATTTATTTTTTTTGTTTTACTTTTAAAGAGATTTAGGAGACAAAACACTAAAAAAAATACTCTAGTATAACACTGGTCAAAAGTCATGAAACTTCAGCAAACATGATTGTACCAATATTGATTTTTTAAAAATTTTATTTATTTTTTTTTACCTTTACCAAGAGTGCCGATTTTGGATCCAAATAAAAGAAAATAATTAAGAATCTTCAACAATGATTGACAACTTTAACTTGAAGTTGAGATGAGACAAATATCCCAAATGTCCTTATCCTCTCTATCTGAAGCTCTGTCAGCTGAAATACTTGGGTCTTAGTTTTGCTTTGCACTGTGTACTTAATCCATCTAACCAATCATCTGGGCTACAGATCAATGCCCTCTCTACTCTGAGACAACTTTTGCTCCAACTTTTTACCCACATTTTTGTTCCACTCATCATTTACTTTTTTCTTTCTGCTACAATAGACATCTACCCTGCTACTGACACAATTTAGTTCTATTCTTTAGTGTAAGTCCAGTTTGGGAAGATTTTGTAGATTTTCATTCTCAGTTTGTTGTGGGTTTTTGTTTGTTTTGTTTTGTTGTTGACTTTATGTGTTGTTTTGTTTTGTTTTGTTTTGAAGTCTTGTAATTCTTTAACCGTACTTTCTTCCATATCGAGAAAGTATTTTCTGTTTGGATAACTGCTGGTGCTACATGGTGTCTACCCCTATATTTTAACGTGGATCCTGGTGATGTGACCAAGTTCTGTACACAATGGTCTGTAGCATACTTTGATATCAGAGATATTTGTAGAATAGAGTGATAAATAATATTACTAAGAAGAGACATCCCTACAATAATGATACAATTGAGATACTTACACTCATCAACAGAATTCTGAAACAAATCCAGGTTCCTTTCTCCTGAATCCATCAATTTCTGAAGAAGAAATAGAAATTGGCTGATTTTTTAATAACATCAGGCACAATTGTTCTTTCAGATCTGATCAGGGAAAGTCTGGAGGCCATATAACCTTGAAAGATAGAACAGAAATCTGCTTAGCAAATGGTGTGGAGCTCGCTGAGTGATCTTAAAACTGTGTTTCTGATGGAAGATGGAGCAACAAAATGCCTGAGTGTTATACAGCTGGGAACCCCAGGGGGGTGAAACCTTAGAGAGAGGTTCTTCTTTGGAGTCTAGGCATTGCAAATGTATTGCTATAGCTTGTATGCTAATTCACAAAGAAACAAAAAAAGAATGAGTGAATGAATCACCTGCTTATTTGATATATAGAAGATAGATAGCTTTAAATAATGTGACTATTTTCCCAGGATATTTATTTAGGCACAAGGTTATCTCTGTTGAATGCCAAAAAATAGTATCATTCTAACTATTAGCTTTGTAAGTTCTAGATGTAGAAGGATGGTTTTAAGGTATGAAATAAAGAAATGACAACCTGAGTTAACTTTTGCATTTTTTTCCTTTCTTTAGGTTTTCTAGTTGAACAAATCAGATCATAATTGTCAATAATACTTCTGCTTTATGCATATACGTTGATGCAAATTTTGACAGGACATATATTATTTTGTGCATTCATCTACCTGCTAGATCCTTCTCTTCCAATGCATTTATGAGTGGAGCCACCCATTTCCATATGTATTTATTCACTTAATCAGCATACACGGTATACATTAAGTGTTCTAGGCTTTCCGTGTGATTTGGTGAGGAAGGATAGAGATGATAATTGCATAGGTGCCCTAGTGGTAAGGAGTTGTGCTGCAAATTCAAAGATACTTGGTCGGACACCACTAGCTGCTCCTCAGGAGAAGAGTGGGCATTTTTCTTCCCTGTGTATCGTGATTTACTGCTGGAGGGTCAGCTACG